AAATAAACCCATCCAGGGATCTGTGCAATATCCCCAGGGGCTGGTGAGTCACCCGGTGAGACACACAGATCATACAGCACAGTGCCTATCTAGAAAGACAACATTGGGTGATATGCTTTGCAAAGAAGTGAGTTGGAGCACCTGCTCCAACCACTGTCCCTGGGGAACGACGAGAGAGGAGAGGTGGGTGGATATTAATCTGCAGTGACCCATTAGCATCAAAGAGGTAACAAAGAAATCAAAACTTTCAATCAATAGGTCACAAGAGGGTATTTCTTGCTTGGTTATTGGGATGGGGTCTGGATTTGCCACAAAGCATGGTGTTCCCTGAACCACTATGGACCCTTGAAACAGTTCATGTAGTTCATTGCTGTCTCAGCACACTAGCTGCATGCTTGAAAAGCACCTCTGGTCTTCAGCAGCAAGAAGAGTGGTGCAAGCTCCCATTCCATGAAGCATCTAATTTAAATAACGTTGCAGGTTTAGTTATTTCTTGAGTCATGACTCCCTCAGAGAGAAACAAAGTTCCACTGTGAGCTTCCAACAGACCTGCCACCTCCTTGAGCAAAGCATCACTTCTGCTTAGCAGAGATTTAAATTCTCTAAAGGATGATGAACCAGCACCCACGATAGCTTATGACCCTACGAAACAGTCTCTCGAATTTAGACTAGACATTTGTAGCTGCTTTTCTAATCAGGGAGGAAGTATCTATTCATTCCAAATTGTCAAAAATTTTTTATCCCAATTTCCCTGGCTCCTTCTTCCTCACACTGCAGGAATTTGGCAGTGTGAGGTTGCAGCAGGGTCCCCCAGCCACCCCCACTGCAGGTGGTGCTGCTCTGCAAAGAAACCTCCAAACCCACACTGCAAGGCTGTGGTCTATTTTAATGTGAGACTCACTGAATAATGCTATAGCTAAGCCAGAGGGGAGTTTGCTTAGTAGAGGACTTGGCCAAAGAGGACTTCGACAACCACAAAGACATTTACATGGCAATGCCAAATTGAGCTCATGTATACTCTGCCTTTCCAGAACTGAAAGGAAGGAGGGCGGGTGTGGAAGCATCTCCAGGAGCTAAATGATCTCCATGTGTTAGGAGAAAACAGAGTTGCCAGAGACCTACAGACATAGGTTCAGTCTTGACTGATACTTTGCATATTTCAAAATTAAATCATATTGTTGCTGTAGGCGCTCCAGCTGCTGGGGGTGGGGTGCTGGTTTTCCAGTTGCTTGATCATCTAGTTAGCACTGCTAGTACTGTGACATCTTCACATCATGTGCTGTGGGGAAGAGGGAAACAGCTGAAAGCAACCAGCTAGCTTTAATTGCACTCTGGAAGATCCTGACAGAGAGCTCAGTGCAAAACTCGTGCCAAGGCTCATGCTTTGGAACAAAACATAAAGACAAAACTACTGCTTTGGGCCCAGCTATCCTCAGAAATAGCTCTCCTGCAAGGGAGAACTGAAGGCAAGACCTTCAGCGCAGGCCTGAGCATGAAACAACCAAAGATGCTAATGCTCATGGGCCAAAAATAAGGTGAGAAAAAGCATCTCTGATGTTGACTTCTCTACCCAAGCAGACTGCAGGACGCTCTCCCAGCCCATTCCCAAATAACTTCCCATTTCACTAGCACGGGGTGAACAGGATAGTGGCAGTGAACTTCTAGGCAGTCCATGGTTCATCAGGTGTTTTCTTTATATTGTCCTTACTGAAAAGAGATTTGAAACCATCACTCTCCTCCCACATTTTGCTGTTCAAGTGTATTGCTAAGGGGAGCAATTGGCTTCGGCTCTCCTCTCGTCTCTCCTGTATATAGATATGTATATATATACACACACACACACATATTTCTAATGCTTCAGGTGCATCATTACTCCTCTTCCTCCTCCTCCAGCCAAGGAAACACATTTCTTTCAGGGCCTGAAAAGAACAGTGATCAAGTCCAACTCCCCAGCCATATGAAGCACCTGGAGCAATATACTCAAGTTCTCGCTAAGGCTCCAGTTATCCATTTCACAATAAATATTTTACAGTGAACACTGCAGTGAAACTTTCATTTGGCAAAGATAACAAGCTTTGAAGCTAAGGTTATGTATGTTTTATGCTACTGGACAAGCTCATATTACCAGATGGCTGAAAGAACTACTCACAAGATAATGAAAGGCTGAGAACTAAAGTAATTTCAGCAGAAATTTAAAGGTCAATGATGTTCTTTAGCCTCTATACACTTGGTAGGAAGCAAGAAGTGTGTTATGTGAACAGACCCCAAGGTTCTACTCCCACACTAAACTGAGAATTTAACCATATAGAGAAGACTGATCCAACCTTTAAATTCAGCAGCACAGGACATGGAACACCAGTGTTTGTGCTCCTGTTGCCCCAAGAGCTGTAAGAGCAAAGGCAGGTCACGGACTGTAAACTTCAGCTTTCCCTATCTATAAAGGGGGTATCACAACACATCCCTCTCTCAGAAGGAGAATGTGACCAGGCTTGGTCCTTGTACCCCACTGTCATAGCACAGAGAGGTCCCAGGAAGCTCACTGCAACAACTGCACATACAAGCACACATTCGTTCTCATCTCCAGGAGCACCACAGAGACTTTGTCTTCTCATGATGTAGTTAAAAATTGCAAGCTGCTCAAATAGCTCAGAAACGAGGGCTGAGTGATCACTTTGGAGCCCAATAAAAGTGATTGCACGCCACCATTTCAGACAGGGGAACTGGACTCCTGAATTCAGGATTGCTGGAAGAGCACTGGCTACGCGATGCTCCAGAGCGACAACCTTCCCCCACATCATTCTTGCCCTGCTATTGCCTGTTGTGAGCCTTCTCAGCCAGTCACAGCTAAGGGCTAAGATGAAGACCACATCACTCCCATTTCAGGACAAGGACTTTGCTGTGGCTGAATGGGCACTCTTCACATACTAGAGCATTGCACTGTGCAGCCTTATAGCAAGAACAAAACCCAAAATATCAGTACACCCCAAAACAGTGAGCAAGTTTCTAATAGGGAAGCTGTTTTAATCAGCCAAGACATTAAACAGCAGAGGAGTTATTCCAGCTCTTACCAGTGCAGAACTCTGCTAGACAAGCAAAAGTTGCATTGTGAAACTGTTTTCACCACACAATATAAATGATCTATTCAGAGAGCTGTGTGCCATGTGTTCCAAAAGCCATTTGATGTGCCAACACAAGTAAGATTTTGACCCTTCATTAAGGAATAAATAAAAAAGGACTTAATTTCCAGAAATACAGTATAAGGCTGCACAGCTACAAGAGTAGTCACACACGTCTAGTTCACTAAGGGGCATGCAAGACTTTGATTTGCGTCTAATGCTTCTAAACTACTCTTCCAGAAATACAGTATAAGGCTGCACAGCTGCAAGAGTAGTCACACATGTCTAGTTCACTAAGGGGCATGCAAGACTGATTTGCATCTAATGCTTCTAAACTACTCGGAAGTCAGGAAACCTCCCCCCCAAACCCAAAAAACCCCACAAAGCCAAAAAACTTTAGACACTCTCAGCTGAGCTTTTAAAAGTCTAAATCCATCTAAGTTCAAAAATCCAAATCCCTTATTTTCTGTTCCTTAATAAAGGGTATTTTCTTGGGAAAATACAAGGTAGGGAGGGAAAATAAAATAATTCCTGCCCAGCACTTCCGGGGACCATCTTGCAATAAGCAAAGCCTGTCTGTGGCTCAACCAGATCTATTGGTTCAGCGCAGCAGATCCTGGATCAGGCCCTGCTCTGAGGACCATCTGCCACTGGGACTCTGTGTGGGTCTCCTCACAGCTGTGCATCTGCACCCAGCCTGGGTGCACAATATGCAGCTGCTCTGTGCTCTCTCCCTCTCTCTCCCCCCCAGGAGAGCTGCAAAGTGTTTTGCATTTTTGTGTGTTTATAGACGAACACAATACGTCAACCAACAGAGCAAGGGCAAAGCCCTGCACCTCACATTTAGAGCCAGGATCTGCAATGACCCGGGGGTCTTCTCCTGCAGCAGTCCCACCTGAGGCCATTCCCTCACACCCAGGACATCAGGGCTGATTAACGGTGCTTCAGTTGACTCTTCAGCTCTAGTTTTTGATCAGATCCTGCAGAGGTTCTACATGTTTATTTTAAACTAGGTAAAGGGAAAGCAGTCCACTTCTAGTCCTAGTAAACACTTGCTTGAAAGGTGGCAACTGGGATCGATCTCCGAGTCTGTTGCAGTCTGGAACCAGCACAGGCTGATGCTGCAGCATCAAGCCTTCGCACTGAAGTGGCTCGTACAACCCATCCACAGAAACTTGAGCACTGTGGCTCAGCTCTTCTGTAAGTTTACTAGGATAGCCCTGCTACAGAAAGACAACCTGCCCTATGAGGAACTGGGTAGAAAAGATTTCAGCAGATCCCCTTCCTGCCCTTTACAGCGCTAGGGTCTTGCAAAACATTAAGCACATGAAGGCATTCCAATTATGAAGCAGTTCTAGGTCAAATATTTATTGCTTTCCTTACAAAACAGTAAAAAGCATCAGATCCACTGAGACAATCTTCCCAATTCAAGGCATTTAAGTACATATTGCAAACAAATTCTTTTCAGTATTGTGCATATAAAAGTGTCAAAGTTCAGGTAGTAGAGCATAGATTCTATTTTTTTTTTTTCTTTTCTATAAAAAAGAGCAAACAATCTTCTGATTTCAGTCTCTAGCCCTGACAAAAAGTTACATCCAGCTGGCCAGCCAGGGGAAGTACACTTCCACATCCCTAACCTCAACGTGCCTGCATGTGTACAGGTTAGGGTCAGACAGGTAAAGCAGATACTGCTCAAGCCTGTAGAGGATGCACAGACACCAACCCAAAGAGATAACTGCAGGAGGACAGGTCTAGATGAGGCAGGCAAAGTGATCTCTCTAGATCCATAGCGATCAACTAGCATTCCCCACCCTGCCCCTTCCTTGGCCAGCTCAAGGACCACAGTGCTGATTTCCTTCTTTCACCTCCCTCATCCTGGTGTTGTCAGATAACCACTTGATAGCTGGGCTGCTTCATCTTCTGGTTCGTTCCCTGGAGTCCTGAAATATCCTGGTCGCTTTCAGACTGATCAAAGTCCGTATCTGGAGAGAGTAACACCTAGAAAGCAGAACAGACAGATGCTGTTGGAGTGAAAGTTCTCAGCTCGTCTTGATACTGCTTGCTGAAGGGGTCAAGCCCCCCCTAGAGGGGTCTGCTGCAAGATCTAATCCCCTCTGGCAGATAGGAAAGGTCGTAAGGTCACCTTGGTCATCTCTCCAACAACAGACAGACAGATGTGGGCACAGACACTGATGATCTGGTGTCTCAACCACCCCCCTCGAGAGCAGAACAGGCAGCTAAAAGCTCTGTTCATCACAGGATGGGACTCACACATAGACATGCATGTTCAGGCCAGGCTGCAGTCTCAGTGGAGATGTACAAAGAACAGACCACGTATTTTGTGAATAGCTGTAGCAAATGTAGACCTTTTCCCAGGCCCCCAGCTTCTTGCTATCTCCAGAGTTCAGCCAGGAGAGCAAGCAGAGCTACAGGGTTAGCTTCAGCCATGGCCAGCCAGCTCAGCAGTGATGCCCTAGCCTAGTAGTATCTTCTTTCTACCTGGCACAGCAGCTCCTGGCTCAGTCTGAATTGTGGGAGCCAAAAATAGAATAAAGCACTGACACCTCTCACCGGTACCTCTCCAGGTAAGAAAGCCCACAGCTTTGCTGCATGATCAGAAGGCTTCCCATTGCCTCCAGGAACACCTACGCTCTCAGCAGCTAACTTCAGACTTGAAGCTACCAACAGGCTGTTTTGAGCTAACTGGCTGCCACCGGCCTGGAGCGTTTGCATGATGCAGAGCCACGCATGGGACATCCTCCAGCCACATCATCTGGAAGAGGAAAAAGGCCAAATTTTACTCAGGCTATGGCTGCACTGACTGCAAAAGAGCTGAAACCCAATGCCAGCCAGCAGGCTAGATGGACAAGCAGCTTTGATTCATGGCCTGACAGACCGATTGCTCAACGCCATCCCACCCCTTCTTCTTACCTCAAATACTCAGCTCTGGGCAGGAGAAGCCCTACTGTCATTACCCCTGACAGTAGCTAGCTCTAAGCACAGCTGAAGGGCAGTCAGCCCTTGTGCTGCAGCTTGTGTCATGCCCAGCAGTACTCAGGATCTCAGTCAAATTTGTAGTAAACACTAGTCATCCACATCAGAAGCCTGGCCAGGTCCTTGGCACCTCAGCACCCAACTCTACAGAGGGGCACAAGCCTAACAGCACAGTCAAGGGCCTCCAGTTATATTTCCCTAGATGACCAACGCCAGCAGCCCTTTCCCCCTCTGCCACCTGCCCATCACAGAACTCATATAGCATCATTAGTTCATGGCTGATGATGCAGTGACAGCGGGCAGGTACCACAGCCACCCCCACAAACACAGCTTCCTCCAGCAAGGCAGCGTAGATCTCCTGCCCAAGCCGCAGCCCCATCTGACCCCACTTTTCTCCAAAGACTGAACCAACGCACTATGAAGCCTCCCTGTGCCCAGCCACCCCCACAAACACAGCTTCCTCCAACAAGGCAGCATAGATCTCCCACCCAAGCTGCAGCCCCATCTGACCCCACTTTGCTCCAAAGACTGAACCAACACACTATGAAGCCTCCCTGTGCTGGACCCACAGCAGCCTTCCAGCTCAAAGGCACAAGTCAAGGGATGGTGCGTGGGCTTTTAGCCAAGCACGTTCATCTGCAGAGTGTTCCCAACAGCTTGGCCAGTCCTGGAGCTTGGGCAAAAAACAGCAGCATGAGGGAATTAGTCCTATCCGTAGCTATCTCCGGGCACAGTTGTGAAGTAACGTGCCCTCCGCTTGTTAACACATGGACAGCACCACGGGGCCAGTCACCACAGCAACAAAACCACCAAACAGGAAAAACAAACTGCAATGAGTCAATGACTTCAAAGGAGCAGAAGAGCCGCAGGGGAAGATTTCCTCCCCACCCTTATGCACACTCCAGCCCCTCCATCTGATGTTATCTTCACAGCAGCACGTCAGACAGCAGCAGATCAGATTAAGCTCCCTTTTGTGTGTGCCCCCCCCCCACTGGTCTCAAGAAAATTTTTTGGTTCAAGACACACACTGGAAAGTTTCCATCTCTTCCAAGTGAAGATTTCCTCTGTTTATCATGTTAATATTGTGATGCTGTTGAACCTGAAAAAGCAGGCGGGTAATTAGTCACACAGCATGATAAACTCACTGAACTCTGACAGGCTGCAACAGGCTAGTTTTGGGGCCTAATGAACTGGTAATTTTGGTGGGTTTCAGCTGCAAACTCAAATCCCCTTGCAGCCAAGCATGGATGATGTTGCAGGCACCAAGCACTGTGCATCCAGACCCATTCAGGCTGCTACCTGCCCAGCGTACAGCTCATATACAGTTACTTGAGCCAACAGTCCCTCAGTAACCTTTCCACAATTCCCTGGGGAGCTTCATCATGAGACGGCACCTCATCACTATGACAGTCATGGGCCATACCCTCAGATCTGGTTTGCAAGCCAAACTCCAGTTTGGGAGCTTTCAACACAATTTGGACAAGGCGCTTCCCCTGCGGATGCATCCAGGTCAGGATCACAGCGGGTCGGTGGCACAGCTGGGAATGGACCACATCTTCCCAGGACAATGTGCTACTGTCTCACTCAGCAGTCCTCAAATACTTCATGCATTCCTCCCTGCATCAGGAGGCCAGCAGCTTGCGAAACAACATGGATCACGGTGCTGAAACAGGACTGCCCATGTGCTCTGCCAGCCTCTCCTGTCTGGGGGAAGAGGCTGCCTACTGGTTCGGTGCTCCATCCAAGCAAACCCTTCAGATCATCAAGCCATCTCAGTGGCAGAGAAAGAGATTGCACAGACAGATGCCGTGACACAGACTAAAACAAAGCAGCTCTGGGGCCATTTCCCCGCTAGCCATGGCAACCTGTTTGCCTAAAGCCCCACCAGGCTAGTACAGAGGTAGGAACCATCCCATCATTCTCCTGCATCTGAGCTTAGATGACTTCCTGTGAGTCAGCAGGGCTGACAGGTGTGAGAGTCTCCTTCCAGAGGCACCTCTATGCCCACCTTCATTTAGCTTCCCCACAAGGGCCAGGCACCTTAGTTGACCGTAAGCTATTTAAGAAAAAATCAGCTCAGTTAAGCAACCAATAAATCAAACTCTCTCTTGGAGTGTTCTTCAGTACTTCAAAGCAAGAAGCATAGGTATTGGCATTCATCAGCATCTGCAGTCTAGGGATTTGCCAAAAGTCACAGCTCCTATGAAGGGAATTGGGGGGGGCATAAGTGCTGAACTCCATGCTGACCAAAGGCAGGTCCCCATGTAGTATATTAGCTTTCCTCCCAACCTTCAACTAGCCTCTAGTTACACCCTAATGGTTCTCACAAGTACCACTGTTATTAGACCGAATTTTGCTTTAAGGCTCGTCTCTGAAAATGTAAGCCTTCAGAAAAGGAGCAGAAACTCACTCACCTCCCTTGGGGAAATAACAAAACAAGTTCAAAAAAGATCAAATAAAACATTATTAAAACTGACTTGTTTTCCTGAGTGGAGGAAACAAAGAAATCACTGATAATATCTAAGGTTTATTGGCACTTGCAAGGGCAAGGGAAAAGAGACTCGGGTCAAGGGCAGGGCGCACACAAAGCAGAAATAAAGGCCATGCAGATGAACATATGTCCCCAGCCTGAAGAGCACTGGATTCAGACTGGCACTCAAGGGATCTCTCCAACCCATGAGAGTGCAAAAGGAGACTGCATGAAGATCTACCAAGGCAGGACACAAGTCTCAAACAACAGAAAGCTCTACAACTGCCTTGGAAGGAATCGTGAAATTCTTCCAGCCGTAAGAGCAAGTTTGTCCCTTTCAGGGTTTCAGTGTATAAAGAAGTTCAGTATTTGCTCCATTCTAAGCAAGCGCCCATCGTTACACCTGTGGCTCACATGAAGAGCCTGAAAACCCCCAAGAGGCTGCCAGTTCTTTGGTCTACACTGCAGCCACACAGTCAGTAAGTGACACCAGAGGCAGGATTGCTGGTTGCTGGCTTTCTTCTTCCTACCCAGCTGGTCTACCTAGTCTACCTAGCCAAGGACAACGCTGAGTTTTCCTGCTATCCCTACAGAAAACACTCAGCATGTGTTTTTAACAGGTTAACTTCAGCCCCCTCCTTCCATTCTCCTTTCTCTCTCCCCCTCCTTTTCCAAAGACAAACTGCTAGTTCAGGTAAAAGTAATGACACTCTCTATTCGCAAGATAGGCAGAGGGGTTGAAATTCAAGAAGGCAGCACGATGGGGAGCTGTTGGCGCCTGCTGCTAGACAGCCCTGATGAACCGTGATAAACCGCGGGACACATTAGCCTCAGCCAGCTCCGCCCTGTACAGCACTTCTCAGCCCCCTCCTTCCTCTTCCATTGGGCAGTAGGGAGGGAAGAAATTTCCCCACCTGACCAGGTTATTAGCAGCAGTGACTCCAGCAAACCCTCATTTTCTGTTTTTGAGCCTAAATTCCAGCCAATCCAGCTGCAGGGCCCAGTCAGCCAATGTGATCTTTAACTTACAGCCTGAAAAGCTGACCCATGAAGCAGAAGCCTATGGCTATACCTTGAGGCCCAGTGCCAAGAAGCAGAATTGGAAAAGCAGTTCCCCCACTTCTGTATTTCTTCACTACCTTGCTCTCTGCCCAGACAATTTGTTGGGCCAGAAGCACAGGAACATGTCTGAGTGGAAAGGAGGCAGCCCCACAGGCTGTTCCAGGTTTAAACCTTGGTAGCTCCACGGCAGGGATGGATCAGAGGGTTTCAGGATAGACAGGTGACCTGCACACTGCAGGCCTCAGCAAAAGTCCTCCTGAGAGAGTCAAGTACTTGGAAGATGGAAGAAGCCTTTGACAACAAGAGTCAGACTGTGGAAGTCCAGTTTCCAACACTTGAAACAACCTGTCTAGTTGAGCTAGCAGAAAAACCTTTCCTAGCTTCTGGAGGTTAACAGATAGCTTCCCTTCAGATTATCCAAAACCAAGCTAGAGGCCAGAAAACACTCAGCCTGCCTTCAGTGGAGCAAGGCAGAGGACTAGCTCCAATTTCATGGAAAACCATTAGCTGCGACACCATCTGTGTATTAACAGCAGCAAGCCATCTATAAGACTAGATTCTCCAAGCTTAGGTTTGAAAGGCTGGAAAGGAGGCTGCCATCTCAACTAGAGAAGCCATGTCTTTACCCCTGTTTAAGCTGGTGTAATTTTAACTGATGCTAAGCCTTTAGGAACACACCAGCATATCCAGTCAGTAAGGCAGATCTTCACCACCACATTTACATTTGAAGCAGCCCTTCAGCCTAGCTCTTCCAAGGAAGTAACAGCCTTGAACATCAGTCACCACTAAGAAAATGTGACTGTGCCATAACCAGGGAGACATTCATGCCCAGAGTTAATCCACCTTCACATCCTAGGTATGAGTTCTTAGCTTCAGTGAACAACCACCAAGACATATTGGCACTGCCCAGCTCAGGCCTTCTCTTCCCTCTTCTCTCCAAAACAGTAAAAGATTTCTTGAGGATGCCCTCACCACCCACACCACTCTGGAAACTCCCTGGGGCACACTGCATGTTTCTAGTGACCTCACCAAGCTACAACTGTTAATGTGGTGGCAGGGCCAGGAGGAGTGACTCACTTGTCTCAACAGCTGCTCACATCTGCCTGGTCTTCCTGCCAGAGGGAAGATTCCTCCAACACCACAACCTCACGAGCAACAGACACTTCCCTGCCGCACCCTTGAGCCACAGAAGCCATGGCTGCTGTGCAGAATGCCAAGCACACCGTTAAACACTTACCTCCACGTGTGCTGCAATGTCACCAGTAATTGCCCATCCAACCCATCAGCACAAGAGCCGAGTTACTCTTCATAAAAGAGCTCTCAGAGAGCAAGTGCTATTTCTGTTCATCCTAAATTCCTCAGCAGAAGCTACTCCAGGAGCCAGCCTGTGACTGCCAGAAGCTCTCATATCTCAACAAGTCTCACTAGTGAATGCAAGATATCAGCAGTCATACACAGAGCACTTTGAAACCAGGTCTGGGTGCCAGGGGAAGGGAATTCAACCCAGCGACTCAGGTTTTGGTGTCTGCCCAAAAGCTGATGAGCTGTACAGACACCACCTGCCCAGCAAACCATGCGTCATTAACATGAACAAAGTCTGCTGCAACTGGAGCACTTCCTTCCCCCCCATAACTTTTAAGTGTCAAGCTCAGACTACACAGAATACAGCTTCCTACAGCTATGGGACCATCATCTGGCTGAAAAAAATACCAACCGCTGACAAAAGTAGGATCCCCAGCTAGGCCTTGTCCTCTAAAAAGGGATGCTACCAGTTACAGTAAGGAAAGCAAACTCTTCCAAGCCAAGATTAATTACAACTAAAAATGAGAAGGTTGGAAGAGAAGGTGCAGAGGTACCCATGAGCTTCAGCCTGCCTCCAAGCCAAGATTAATTACAACTAAAAATGAGAAGTTTGGAAGAGAAGGTGCAGAGGTACCCACGAGCTTCAGCCTGCCTCCAACAAGCCCACACAGGTTAGTGCAAAAGCTAGGTCATCCCTCACAAGATGCTGTCATCATTTAGTGCAAAATTTCAGCAACACTTTGTAGGCTGTAATATTGCTTTTTGTTAGACAGGGCCAGATCATCCTGGAAAACATCCCTCTGTTGACTTCAGCTACACGCATGGAAATTCAATTTGACTTCGCAGGGTCATCGATCACATGCATGAAGCATCCCCCTAGGTCTAGGCAACGTGACGTTATGTTGCATGGTTGTGGTGAAGAACACAGACCATGCCATAAGCTCGCAGTCTGGTCTTAAACACAGGACAACCTTGGTCTTACCTGAGATTCCTCAGTCCTCCTAGCCCGAGGAGTTTCTATGGATCCATTGATGTCCAGGGTGTCCTTCTGCTTATATTTCCTCATGATCAAGCTGTCCACAACCCAGAACATAATGGCCTTAGGGAGAAAGAAGTTGCATGAATAGATTGCAGAGACCAAAATACAAAGTCATTCAATCACACCTATTTCTTCTCCTTTTGGTTACCCCAGATGTTCAGCCTTGGTCAACCTAATTTATCTGAATTAACCCTGCACCAAGTGTGTTCATGGAGGCTGGATGTGTCAAATTCCTGAGATCTCTTCTCACATAAATCCTATAGATTCCATAGATGTTGAAGACCCAGTGAAGCAAGAAAAAAAAAAAAAAAAAAAAGGCCCCCCCCCCCCCCCCAACAGGCCAAGTTTCTACCAGGAAATAACCATTGAACCAAGCTCCACCCCAGGTTCGCCTGCTCTGTCTGCACCAGTCCCTGGTCAGTTCTTTGAGAACCAGAGTTTGCTTTCAAATAAGGAAATGGAGCCTAGGGTGGGGAGAGAGGCTGGCAGCAGAGACAAATAAACCTCACTTTGCCAACGCTGGATGCATTGCAATGCTCATGGTACAAAATGAAGAGAGTTCAACTCACTCCTCGTCTAGGGGGGATCTGAATATTAACGATTTGTTCTCACTTCCCATCTTAGCAGGGACTAAGCAGTAGGTAAAGGATTACCCTGAATCAGGGTAACCAGGAAAAAGCTAAGCTTTCAAGAGGTTTTACCAAACTAGTTGGAAAGTTGGGCTGGAAAGTTGGGCAGAGAGGAACCTGATGAGGTTCAACAAGGGCAAGTGCAGGGTCCTGCACCTGGGGAGGAACAACCCCATGCACCAGTACAGGCTTCGGGTGGACCTGTGGAGAGCAGCTCTGGGGAGAGAGACCTGGGCGTGCTGGTGGACGACAGGTTTATGTGGCGGCGAGGATGATGAAGGGGCTGGAGCATCTCTCCTACGAGGAAAGGCTGAGTGAGCTGGGCTTGTTTAGCCTGAAGAAGAGAAGCCTGCGAGGGGACCTAATAAATGTTTATAAATATCTGAAGGGTGGATGTCAGGAGGATGGGGCCAAGCTCTTTTCAGTGGTGCCCAGCGACAGGACAAGGGGCAATGGGCACTAACGGAAGCAGAGGAAGTTCCATCTGAACATGAGGAAGAACTTCTTCACTCTGAGGGTGATGGAGCAGTGGAACAGGCTGCCCAGGGAGGTTGTGGAGTCTCCTTCTCTGGAGTTATTCAAGACCCACCTGGAAAAGGTCCTATGCAGCCTACTGTAGGTGACCCTGCTTTGGCAGGAGGGTTGGACTAGATGACCCACAGAGGTCCCTTCCAACCCCTACCATTCTGTGATTCTGAGTTTTGCAAAGATCAGTAGTTCTGGGTAACCTGAATATCTTGCCTTGCTGTAGCGCAATATGAAGCCTAGCCAAATGGCTCGATTGGCAGGCTGCGAAAAGTCACCACTGTCAAGCCATCTTACAGCAACTTCAAGGGCTTTGGGGCATTCCCATGCCTGTTGCTTGCTGCTGAGATGCAGCCCTCGGCTAATGAACTCCAGCTTTCTTCAAAGAGTCAGCCACCCAGCAGCTTGGACAAGGGAGTGGGAATTCAGAACAGAGACCATTGCAGGGCAGTAGTGACATATTTGTGTATTCATGACAACAAAGATATTTGTTTCCACTCTCCTCCACCCCGTCCCAGCCACTTCAATTACTCAAGGCTGCCCCAAGCCAGTTACTGCACATGCTTCCCATTGAGGGGGGACCATGATTTCCAAACCACCCCACCCAGTGCTTGCAGAGGCATCACTTACATTGACTATGAAAGGCACAACAAGCATGACCAGGATGAGCTCCAGCTGGGGGTTTGGGATGTAACCCAGGAGGATCTGCTGAAGCTGCAGAGGAGAAAACATTTAAAAGCATTATTTGAACAGCTCTGTTGTGAGATCTTTGCTGCAAACTGGTTGCTTTCTTACACCAGCAGTCTCCTAGCTAGGTCTCTGCAGTCTTTGCTTTAGCCCAGCCTAATCTTCGAAAGATTATGTGGGCTATTCCTTTAGCCCAGCTGCCAAACACAGGATTTTGTACAGATCGAGAAATAAGTACTGCTAGTCTTTCAGTTTAACTACCCCTGACAACTGGTGGGACTTTCCCTGGTTCTTTGAAGCCTAGCTGCAAAATAAGGGCACCAGCCTTACGTGATAATCACGGAGAGAAATCCAGCAGCATCTCTGGATGGTGAGTGCTGCTAAACAACATGTTTGTGTCCAAGGCAGCACTGTAGACTACTGGGTTAGAAAGACAAGCCCTTAAGAGGAACAGATAAATGCTCCCAGATTGCTGTAACTCCTCAGCAAAGCCACATCAGCCTGCAAGGTACTAGGCAGTATGTGTAAATGCACTCAAGTACTGAAGTTACCCATCAATACTCAGAATTCTTTTTTATCACACCTACCTGCCACCAGGTATGTGGCCACAACTGCCACAGGATTATTTTTATTCTTTTTAGAAGAGAAAATCATGATCAACACAATTACCACTGCATGAGCTACCATACAGAAGCAGTTGGGAGCGGGTAGGACAGGGTACTACTGAGACAGTTCTTTCCAAATTAACCTCCAAGAGTCCTCCCTAGTTTAGGCATGGGATCACGAAACACCAACATGAACTCAAGTGATGAGATTACGTAGAAATCCTCTGGCAGAGCTGAAGTAGCTTAGCTGCCAGTCCAGCCCATTTTATCCTTCCAAGGACAGAAAAGAAAATTAAAGCATCATCTTATTCCACTAGCTATTGAGTAGCAACAGAACGTACCAAAAGCCAAACCGTTATGAAAGTCATGTTTCCCTCAACATAATAACTAATGATTACAGACAGATGTCAACAAGTCATAAAGATTAAAGACCTATGATGATGGGGACCACTAATAAGGCAAAGCTGATAAGAAACAAGCTACAACAACTGTGGCTACAAAAATACAGCTCAGGAACTTACCTTTGTCCAACCAGGAATAAGCAGCACAAGGCTAATCACAGTCTTCTCAAAAACCATTATCAGCAAGTAGAGGATACACTGGCCAATCCAGGCAGCAGCTTGTGGAGGGTCACCTGGGAAAACAACATATTAAATCTGAGACAGAGGACAGGAGGAGACAGCCTTGCAGAACAGTTGCCTCATGCTTGATTCCTGAGCTGATTAGAGGGACAGGGGAAGTGTCTCCATATTGCAAGTTTTGGAGCAAGACAAATACTCAGTACCAAAATTAAAAATAGTTGAGAGGTTTTCTGTCTCTAGTTGTAGGAGCAGATACCCGAGGTAGAAAGGTTTGGTGTCCCTGCTGGGTCTACAAGTCATTACTCCATTGCAGATCAAAACTTCACCAAGATCCAAGCTAAAATCTTTCTAGTTAAAAAAAAAAAAAAAAAAAAGCAAACCTGACCTCTTTCAAAGAAAACTTTGCGTTCCTTACTAGTCACACCTCATTTTGCATCTTTGCAAACTGATGTAGAGAAATAAGCACAGAAAGGCAAAAATGCACCCCGCTTCCATTTGTGCGGACCCCCTTTATCAGGGCAGCCATTTGTCTTTCATACTGCAGCTGTACTTTTGAATTAAACCTGGCTATAAGCAAGAGAGCTGTCCCTCCCAAGACATGACATGCACTACTACCACCACTGGCCTTGTGTTCTAGATGGTGATTCTCTTTTTCTACTCTTTTTAGGGCTGATTCTGAAATGGAGATGGCAATTAACCAGAACTCTGGTTCACTTGAAGGGCGAGCAAATAGCAAATTTCAGACACAACTCAAAAAGCCCTACCTACCTTGCAGATGCTAACACGACGGGTATTTATCTGCCTCCTGTCCTGCTCTCCATTCCACCAACCTGCCTCTGAAACCCACCAAGAGGAGAAAACCACCACCAAAAACCTTCTTGCCTTGCATCTCCTCCATTGCCTGTCCTTCCTAGATCAATGGCTTTGCTGGAGCAAAAGTCCTACAAGCGCCCTACGAGGCAGGCAGGTAGCTTCTGCAAAATGGGAGAGATACAGCTCTAGCTCTGCCTGAAGACCTAAAGTTCCCCGTTGTTTATACAGAAACCCCAGCACTTGCAGGCACTCCCGGTCTCTCTAGATCCACAGCCCTGTAGCATCACCAGTGCTTAATGGAAAAGCCATTCCCAGTAACTCTAAAGGGACTGGATCAACTTTTACAAATCTTGGTTTGGATAACAAATATGTTCTCCTCCACTTGGGGGAAGCCTTGGAGATGCACGTTTTCCCTCTCCTCCAGACACTGATGGGCATTGCCACTATCCTTCCCATGGTGCTGAGCTACTTTGAGCTGGATGGATACAGGGATTTGAGGGGAGGAAGCCCTGCTTGTGCAAGGCAGCAAGTGTCCCATCTCCTCAAAGCCCAGACCATTAAAATCCTTTACACAGAGAAAGCTTGAAAGCTCAGAAATCTCAGCATCCTACTCAAACAGGTCCTTACAAGCATGTGTTGCTTTGGGACATCGGTCATTTTGTTTGCCCCTTCTCTGGTATCCTTTTGTCAAGGTACCAGAGATTTAATTTCTCTTCACCTCGGCAAACCTAGAAATGTCCACAGAGATGGGCCCCTGGATGTTTCTCCCACCCTTCCAGCGGATAGGAGCCTCGTAGGTGAGCTCAGAAAATTCTAGAGCATTTTGACCACTACGGCAGACTGATAATCCCTTCTGAATTAAAGCTAACCCCATCAGCAATCCCCAAGACAAGACACTGCTGGACTGACCCTCCTCTACGCCAGGACCAGTCAGTATCCTGTACACGCCTCCTTAAAAAAATAATTAAAAAAAAAAAAAAAAATCAACCATTAACGACCTCACCCACAATTTGCTCCCTGCCAAGTCTTAGCCATCCCATTGCCAGCAGTAGTCTGAAAATTTCTGGTCACCATTTTCAATATGAGAAGCATAAATTTTCAGTCCTAAACAGAATTAATTTTTTTTTTTGCTGATGAAGTGAACGGCTGATTATGTGATACTCACTGTCTGAGCAAGAGACAGGGGCTCCATCGCCCCAGGTTTTAGAGCAATTCACTCAAAAAGAATCAATGCTAATTAAATATGAATGTTTCCAATGGGGTGCTTACCAAGTAATAAGTAAAAGCATATTTGTATTGTTATCAACGATAATGGTACCGTATCTATTACATGTGCTTGCTTCAGCCCTGTGTAAGCACCCTGCCAGCTGGTTATCATCTTCCCAGGCTCATCAGAATATCTCCGGTCTGCAAAACCGGGCTACAGTATCTGCCTTAAGAAAGCTGCAGCATTTCCTCTTACCACTTGAACATAAAGATAACCTCTGGCAGCACTTGTTTCCAGCATAACTGGGCCAGAATTTGGAATTTCATCTGTGCAGGAGAACCAAACCCTCTGAGAGATGCCAATGCTCGACGTGCTGGCTGACTGGGAGCTCTGCCCCACTTATCCTCAGCACAACACAGTCGAGACGTGGCAGGGGAAGACAAAACCAGCAGTCTGCAAAAGCACACTTATCCAAACCACTACGCAATCCTCCAGCCACAGAGACCAGCAGTGCATACCAGGATTTAGTAAGAGCTGGTACCCAACCAAGCCCAACTCTACAGGGATCCGCTTCCTAGCAAGGGCAGAACAGGTTTGCGTGTGTATTTGTCCTTATTCTGCCGTTTGTTGGCAACGCACCAAAGCATCTGCATCTGCCTCGTTGCAAAGCTACAGCTAAGAAGCAGAGGCATCCAGCTAGTGTCTCCTAGAGACCTCAGAGTGATCACCTTGCATCTCAGCTTTTTTGATTCCTCAAGCCACCATCGAGAAGGAAGCAAAGGAGGGGAGAGGGAAGGACTGGGAGGCCAGGGGTGCAGAGAGGCTGCTGAGCTGGGAGGACAGCAAGCAGAGTGAGCCAGATCAGCAGGCAACCACGCAGAGGGAGGGAAGGAAGAGGGAGCCAGGAAGGTTACGTGCGAGTGCAACCAGCCGAGCCCGCAGAGGATTTCAGAAAGCACACGTCTCCGCTGCCTGGCAGGCAACGGCTTAATGGGTGGTCTGCGGAGGAGACGGGAGCAGTGTTACAGGCAGCTGGCAGCTAAAGGCCAGTGCCAGAGAGCCTTTGATCCTCCTGAAGCATGGACAGCCTCTCCCGATAGACTCGGGTGCCTGGTTGTCTTTGGCACAGGTTAGGTACAGTGGGGCTTTTTACCCCATACCCCAAGACAGACCAATTCTCCTACAAACCCCCAGGCTACCATCACCCATGAGAGCTCCAAGTACAAACAAAACAGGAAAACAAACATACCCATCATGTCCTTCCTGCATTTGACCTCTTCCCCTTCCGCTCTGTGTTGTCAGCTGTGCTCCATCCCCCGTGGGGAGACAGGGCTAACAGCCACAGCACCCTTTGCGAGTCGGCTCTTCTGCGCTGCAGTCACGATGGCACTTGTGGAACACTTCCCTCTCACCTCAGCTTGCCCAAAAAGCAGCAGCAAGTTTGAGATCTCTCCCAAATACCTGTCCCCTCACACCGTTTTGGGGACTGGAGGTCGCTACCATTGATCATCATGAACAGTGGGCTACGGTTCTTCGTTTTGTGCACTGTGCACTAGACAGCCCTAACCAGGCTGAAAGATAGACACTAGAAAAGACAACCTGCTTCTCAACGCACCCTAGGCATGACCCATGTCTCCAGGGAGAATAGCGCCTCACCCAGAAAATTCTCCCTTCGCTTCCAGTTGGCATAAAAGCCATTAAATTGCCCTTGAGTTTTCTTGAAGTGACCATGTTTGGAAAAGGAAAACCTTTTCTCCCTTTGCTAGAGAACAGTTTTTACTGTGCAACTGTAAGACCCCATCTAGGGAACCCCACTTCTCCAAGACCAGAGGTCTGTTGCAGTTCGGCCAGCTTCACTGGCTCAGGGTGCAGGGCACACACAAGCAGTACAGCAAACACACGCTACCAAGCGGGACAGACCTGCACCCCTTACTACCCACCACCTCCCACCCTGTCAAAGGTGCCTCCATTCCAGCATGGAGCTTTACATGTTCAACGTTCTCGCGCTAGTCCTTTCTGCATCACCTACAGAAGACACTATGAATCTCCTCCACAGTTACAGGGACAACAGCACTTCTTACGTGTCCAGCATAGACAGTGGAAGCATATGGAAAGACACCCACAGAGCTATGCAGAGGCCAGATTTGGCCATCTGCTCTATCACCTTAAGCAGCTCAAAGTTGCTACTGTTTTGCAACTTCCTCCTCCTCCTCCTTTTCCATTCTGAGCTTTGTTTTCAGACTATGAGTTGAGAAGTTTCTGTACAGGAAGCCATCCTGGAGCACAGAATTAGACAGGACTTCATTTCCACCCCCTAACAGGAAGATCAGAGCGTGTCTCCACAGTTACTTTTTTACTGCATCTTAGTCTCCCAAGGACAGGAGGCTGCTCAGTACCAGAACAACTCAGGACAAAGATGAAAATGAAACAGCAGCATGGCCCACAGGGCTGCAATGATGACTTCAGCTATAGACAGTGGCTTGTTTCCTCTTCACTAAGAAACTCACCTGGCTGCTCCTTACCTCAGTAGGTTTGAAGTCATATAAAGACCATTGATACACCTCAGAGTGGCCATCATCCAAGCCTACTCATCACTAATTCATCTAACTTCAATTAACACCAGTAACATACAAGTCACCACCTACTGGCATCTTATCAGGGAAGAGCAAGCCTTTGCTGCGGTCCCTGAGCAAGCCCATAAGACAGATTGGTCACATCATCTCCTCCTTCCACAATTGAGAAACAAGGCTGGAAAACTTGAGCTAACCACCAGCTAACCACGCACTTCATTTAGGTGCTGGCTTCCTACAGCAAGATGGTCAGAGGCATCCTCAGATGCAACTTTATATCTTTAATGGATCAAGTGCTGTCCACAAGTGCCCTGCTCCATGGGTGGGAGACGATTCTTCTTACATGAAGTGTTTGCATTACATAAACCTAGGTGAGCGCCTACAAGACTGTTTCTGCCACACAAGCTTGCCAGCCAGCAAAACCCAGACTGCTCCCTGGAGGCTTAAGCCGAACAGATGTCCTCCTCTTTGCTGTGTCAAAAGCTTCCCTTTCCTTGTAAAAGAGGGGAACAGGTCCAAAGGAACTTTGCAGCCTCTGTATCACACTCGGTGGGAGATTCCACATATCATGCTTCCTTTGAACACTTTCTTGTCCCCAGTCCTAGTCGGAAGGTAACCCAGGACATGTCAGCTCTACACACTGACTCTACCACCAACCTCTCCTTTTATCTTAATGAACACCCTTTGCTCAAACCTTTTTACAGCCATCTCCCACCCTGACATAAAAAAATACCCCCCTTCATCCCAAATGATGCACACACTGCATTTAGACTGTTCTCCTCCAGCAGCATTGCTGGTGCTCCCCATGATCAGCAGAACTCCCTTGGTGCAGACCTAGGACCACCGGTGCCTGCAGCAACCTCGCACAAACGCACGTCTCGCATATTCTGCTTGTGCGTGGGAGCCCAACTGCTCGCAAAAGCAGCACTGCTTGAGGTATTTGAGCTGTTACCACACAACAGGATTAGTTCTAATCCAGACTGCCTAATGTACCAAGCTGTCAGCACAGCCCACACGTTAGTGCCAGACAGCTTTATTTACGGTCTTTTGGGGACTGCGTGTGCACTGAGCAGGTAGAAAAAAAAAAAAACAAAACTGAACCACAGCCAAAGCGGAGAGTTCAGGAAAAGCAAATATTTGAAAGCACTGAAAGTTGTACTGGGTGACATGGTAGGGATAGAAAAAGTCAATAAAAATCTCTTGAGATACTCAAACGGCACCTCCAAAATCAAGGGATCCAATTATCAGTGTCAAGTACAGAGGAGGGTAAGAAATAGCAGTCAAGCATCTGAATTACTGAGAAGTGCTAACTTCAGGTACAAAAATAGGTTTTCAGAGATTGGGACTTGATGCATCAGAGCAGCCAGATGGGTCCAGTGGACATCCCAGACCCTCTCTGGCATGCTCTGAACTAAAAGTGAGTGTACAGCTGTCCCCACTGCCCTGGGTCTTCTGTCCCTGGAGATACTGCTCTTGCAGTGGGGTAAACACCGCTGCTACCATCCAAACCCAGGAGGTTCAAAGGTTTGCACCCCTGCTCAGAGCAACAGATCTGACCACACACTCGGCCATTTCAGGATGATCCTCAGTCCTCTTCCTTACTCTCCCCCCCTGGTCCTAGGGGTGGAAAGGCCAAGCATGCCAAGGACAGGCCCTCAGGTTAGAGCTATTTCCAGCAGTATTTCCTCAGGCATTAGCAGCCAGCTCCCTTGGCTTCTTCAGGACGTGGGAATATTTGTTATGGAAATTTTGTACAACATCACAACAGAGCCAAAAGCAGCCTACACAGGTCCTCAGTTAAACTCAGCAGCTGACGCAGAGCATATTCCCCTACAACTAAACTTGACCAGCAGAGTTCAACAGGCCACCAAACAGACTTTAAAGGCCTCCAAGCAACATGCCTTTCCATTTCCAGACAGTGAATGAGCACAAAGCATCAAGCTTAGGCTCGTCAGTGACGGCAGCCACAGTCATACACGAGTCAGGATCCAGATGGGCATCCAGAGAGGCGTTTTCAAGCAAGAACACCCTCTTTCTCCCCATCATTTCATAATGCTCCTCTTCAGCATTTTACTGGCACATTGCAGAAACCACCTCTTAAGGCAAATTCATAGGGTTTGCTTACCTAAGAAATACTCCAGTATTTCTGAAGTAACAGTTTAGAGTTATTAGACACAGCTACAATGCCAGGACATTACAGCCATCCAGAAGTTCCCTCTACGGAGCTGCTTATCACCATGGGAATAGGGGAAGGAGAAGAGGGCTGGAAAAGTTTGGAGGTAGGGCACAAAGCTGAACCAGGCTTCAGCCGCACGCTCTGACTCCAGCCAGCATCTCCTCTGCTCAGTCTGTGCAGACCCAGCAGCACTTCCAAGACCTTGGTTATCCACCGTCCAAGTCCTTTGCAGCTTAAACTCTGCTCTCCTCCCCGCAGAAGTCCCCTGCTGCTACCCTGCTAGAGCAATGGTGCATAGAGCATTTGTGGAGTTTGTCAGCTTTGAGTAGGTGTAAGGCAACCATCATGCTCCAAAGCCTACTTGAACCAAGATGAAGAATAAACCTCTCCAATCTTTGATCTTAGGATCCAAGTGTCTGCAGAAGAGACAGCAGCCTTTTAAAATGCAGTTGCTTGTGCTTAGATGCAGTCCAAAGAGGAATCAAGATCTGCTGGACAACGATGGAGGAACATAAGCCTACAGGAGCCTTTGACTCTCCGCTAGCTAAAAAGCAGGTCATTCCTGGCTGCAGCAGTCGTTGGCTAAGAGCTCCGGCACAAGAGAAGCTGATCTCAGAATGGGTGTCTCCTACTTTTTTTTTTTGAAATAGGAAAGTAATTTATTTTTCTAAACAGTTCTGGACAGCTGGATGCTTAAAATAGCAGCGTAGATTTAGGTGCTTTTCCTTCCTTTTTCTTTGCTTTTGTATTAATGCAGCTATTGCAGTGACACATGGAGAACAACTCAGGGCCGTGGAGATGGGCGTATCGACAGTAGAGCAGAAGGGACTGCCGGAGCCCAAAAGAGAGGATAACTGCAGTGGTTTGCATCAGTTGCAGGGATGCAACCAAAAGCTGGAGGGCCAGAAAGGAAGCAGTTGCAACAGACTTTTGCTTGAAGACCATACAGGTAGATCAGTACTGCCTATGCTGGACAAAGACACAACTGTCCCTTCCTGATGGTTGGGGCAATGGCACTGTCTGCAGCACGGATTTGGTGCTTCGCTGGTGTTCTGCCCTTCCTCCTCTGCAGAACTGCAAGAGACACTTTTGCTCCCCAAGAGAGCTGAGGAAAGCAACATAAAGTCTGGTATAGCAATTAGACTAGAAAATTAATCATATTTCTGGAGCCTGTGTCAAACAGTACAAAATTTACTAGCATCTTCCAAACTGTTTTGGAAGTTACTTAACACCCGAGATGAGGATAGCAGTGTTTTGCTCCCCTAGCCCCGCGGCAGGATTGCATTGGACATCCCGCTTGACTCCTACTTAACTTTTCCATCATGATGACCCTGGCCAGAGACCTGCACCAAGAGCGGCACTGTCTGCAGCACGGATTTGGTGCTTTTTTTTTAATTAATGAAAGCAAGATTTCCTCCGAGGAGCAAGCTGTTTCTGTAGTCTAAGCCAGCCTTCATGAGGAGCCAGCTACAGCTCAACAGAACTTCATTACTGCTCTGCCAGGTTAAAGCAAGCTGTCAATATACTTCAACATTTCCTTGCTTCTGCTCAACTGCAGACGTGGCGCATGAAGCTGATGCCGTGCCCTGGGATGGTCGTGGTTGGGCTTCAAGTCCTTGCTGCTCAAATGGAAAAATGCCAGTCCCTGGAACAAGAATACTGGGATTCCTCTGCTGTCTCATCTGAATGACTTTAGCACTCTGCGCTTGGCTCCTCAGCTCTTTGAGAAAGAACCGTTAGGGGAAGAAAAGGTAGACCCCACCAAATCCATACTGTCAGGATGCAGAATCTCCTCTGTAGACCACTTCAAAGCCACTCTCAGGTTTGACGAGAGCTGGTCCTGCCACATCCCATCATTTCAGCCCATCTACTGTCATCTCATTTCCAGTCTGTAGCTGCTTCTGCTGTCTCACAAACGCAGCCATGCCCTTCATCCTGTGCCATGACCCATTTACACATGCTGAACATGGGCCTGAACAAGAGCTCACCAGTTGGTGCGGTCTCCACGCTAATCCTAGTTTGGTCCAGGTTTCACCAGCTCAGTTAATAGATCAGCTACTAAAAACACAAAGGAATGAGACTACCTTCAGAACAGACTTAATGAGTGAGGTCTAAAAGGTGAGCAACTGATTGGTATGAATAGGATGCATTTGCTAAGGTATGACTGAATTAAGTCTTTATTTAACTTAAAAATCGGCAAAAGGGTTAATTTTTCCCTTTCCTGCAGCCACAAAGAAGCACTGCTCTCCTGGAAGCTTGCTCTGCTCTTTATGCAGAGAAGTGCTACCCTCTAGTGGGGCTGGCTGAGAAAGGCTTTTCTGAAACAGTTTTTCTTCCTCCTCTCAACACGAATCGAAGCAAAGTGGTTGCCGGACTAGGGCATCCTTAACATTGTGGTTTTCAAAATTTTTTTTAACATCAGTTGGCATAAAATCCCAAAGCAACCCACAAGTCATTTGAGAACTCAGTCTGCGTGCCAGGCTGTCTCCTGCTGATGCCTACTACAGTTCAAGGCAAATGCAAGAACAACTCTGTGTTCTTAACCGAGAGGCTAGGAAAAAAACCCAAAAGAGCCCCATAAAAATCACCACCACAGCGCCCAAACGCCTTAATTTATTATATGCACGTCCTGGGGTATATTATCTGCCCAGAGGAATGTTCAACCTTTCATCACCAGCCTGCTACGCTGAGGTGTGCTTGGCAGGGCAGCAGGCAGGGTTACCTGCGACCCAGCCATGTCCCGGTGTTTAACACGCTGATCGCTACCACACTCTGTGAGCTCCTTGGAGAAAAGGTAACAGAAGCCGGCTGCTCACGTTTTCTCCCCAAACCACAGTTTCTGCCATTTTCTTCTCCTCATTCATAATTGAGAGCAAACAAGGCACCTTCGTGCCCAGCAGTTGACACCTACCATACTCTCCGAAGACCAGGTACGTGTACTTCTTACGCTGCACGATCCAGGAGACAACCTTCACACCGAGCCAGATCAGCAGCATCCCCAGCGTGGCATCAAGGATGAAATTAATAAGGTAGCTAAGAGCAGAGGAAAATTCCAGTTTCAGTTGTGTTCTTAAGCCTTATTCAAAATCTTTTATTTCAATACGGGGATCCATAAAAACCCCCCAACATTTAAAAAAATCCCCACTTAGTCTGAGCTCACTTCCTTTCGCTTTTACTAGATTTTCCTCTAGCCTTCCCAGCAATTTCTTAGTTTAAAAGTCTGTTCAGCAGAGAAGGGAGCAGGCTCCACCAACTCTCTGGCATTGCTCATTTATCCGTACAGCATTAAATACCTCCTGGGATAGTCTTGCTTAAGGGTTACGCCAAAAAAGAAGGCTTTTCATTCACAGCATCTTTTGTTCTTATTAGGATGAAATACCAAGTTTCAGGGAAACGGTACCAGACAGTTTTGGAATTTCATACAAGAAAAGGGAAGCTTCTTGGACAGCACAGCTGCTCTGCAAACTGCACAGCAGAAGAGGCAAAAAGTCCATTTTACTGCGCAGCTGCAAGAGGCGCCTATGAGCAGAGATGCAGACCGAGAGGCAGAAGGTCTTGGGAGAGGCAACCAGCCCTGGCTCAACAGGAGGCATTCTGGGGTCCCCAAAAGCCTCTGATTCAGGGTCCCCACTGGAGATCCAGAAGCTGAACCCATACCTACCAGGAGATTTGGGCCTGACGGGTTTGCTCTGCAACTTTCTGTATTTAAAAGCCTCACTGCACAGAGTGCCAGAGGCAGGAGACCAGTAGGGACCTTTTGGGGATTGCAAGGCCCAAGCTCTATTCCAGGGCTTGGTAATTTAATGTACTCCAGAGGGAAATAAAAAAAAGACAAAACAAGAGTCACTCAGACGAATGTTTTCTGGCCAGTTTTCCATTATTGGAATATTTTCTGTCAGATCAGGCCAGATTTCTACAGCGTGAAGAAATTACCAAGCACAGAGCTACAGGAACGAACATTTCCTTTTCCAGAACTTGATACTGCCTCTGAACAAAGACACTGAAAACAACAATCTGCTTTTGATATCCACTTCGACAACATGACATTAAGTTCTTCTACATCGAGAGGCTCACAAGCAGCTTATTGCAGTTTCCAGCTGCTGAAGTCAGAGTACTCCGCCACAAACATGAGGCTCTGATGGTTTATACTGGGCAGGACGTGCAGCGTATGAGCCTCAAAGCCCAGGCACGGGGCTTTCGAGTTTTGAGCTGCCTGGTTCAGGAGATGACAAGTCAGGCAGCACAGGGAAATGCAAAACAAACATTAAGAAAAAAAACCCCAAAGGGCACAGCACAAGCATGAAGCGTTTATTTTAAAACACTGTCTGTTTAAAAAAACAACAATGAATCATTTTAGAGGTTATATTTAGTCCCAGCCAAACTTGTGCCTGCTTAAAGAAACATATCAAGGTGCAGCACTAATATACAAAAAGGAGCTGGGCCAGAGGGCTTTCAGCAGCATTTTGAAGCCTAGAGGAGTTTCTAAAAATCAGATGAAGTTAATTCTGAAACTAAATTTGTAGCTGCAAAGTGGCTTTTCTGAAGTAAAGGTGGCACTTCTACATGCTTACATTGAACACAGGCTTTCACCCACACAGCCAAGAAAGCATCCTCAACACTGCTCTGAGATGAGCCACTTGCAAAGTCTGGGGAGCAAACACATGCCACATTTAACCGCTGCAATTTCATGAGGCACCACCGCGTTGTTCACAGCATCTTAGAATCACAGAACCATTCAGGTTGGAAGAGACACCCAAGACCATCGAGTCTCTTTACAATAGATACCAAGGTGCTTTTAGCAATCAGAAAAGCAGTTGCACTGCCTCATCTCCATCAGACCAGCAGACTGCAAAGACCAGAAGACAACCCAGACTTTGAAAATGAGCTCGGCGCAGTTTATCCCCGTGTAGCACTTCCAATGGATCAGCTCCCACTGTGCATGACGTTTTCCAACAGGCTCGTTTCTTCCTTTAACAGATGTAGGACATGAATGCAAGCATCTTGCGTACTTACAGAGAGCAAGGGTCCTCTTCAGTGAGATCCGACAGAAAAACATTGGCAAAGTGGATGAAGAGGGCACCTATTGCTTGCTTGGAGGTATCATAAAACCTGGAGAAAAAAGGCAAGAAACTCTGTTCCCTGGAGCACCAGCAGCCCCACAACCAAAGGCCCTGCATGCTCCTGCTTTCCTCCAAGATGTATTTGTGATACTCAAGAAGTTGTACGTGGTGAAAAAGGGCAGTTTGGCTGTCTCCAAATACTGAAGAAAAAAAAAGACACCACTGCAGCACGCGGCAGCTCAGCCTTGCAGATCTGCACCTGACACTTGCTGCCCAATTTTAGCCTGCAGCGAAGGGCAGATCTCCCTCCAGTGCCCAGCCCCAGTTTCTCCAACCATCAGTAGGTGCAGGGAAGGCATTCAGCTGTTTACGATTTTCGCACCCGTCCACAAGGAATTGGATTGAATTCCCAAATTATTTTAGAGGAAGAAGGAAGCTGAGGAGATTGTCACGTTTGTCCATCGCTAACGCTGGCTGGTAGCTCTGTGCTACTACGCTGATCCCCGTCACACGCCCACCTCTCGGCAGCCCGTAAACCCATCGATACAGGGATGCTTTGTAGAGGTGTCCGAAGCTGACAGCAATGCCCAGCTACCTGACATCACCACACTGCCAAACACGTTGCCTGTTCTATGCCTGAGCTGGGTCAGGGGACAAGGCAATTAATCGAATTTAAGAACATAATTTGAACCTGTCTGGGAGACAGCCCACATGCAGGTATGCCAGCAGCTAGAGAGGACCATAACCTCTCAGTTCAGTCACCTACAGTAAAACCAAACTTTTCTGGAGGAGGTAGGCAGGGAATTTTACTTCTAGAGAGCACCAGCTACTTTACGGAGGTTTCCTTGGGAAGCGGCAGCAGAGCATTTCATTTAACAGCTAAATACCATGCAGGATATTCAGAGGGCTTAGAAGATTGTTAGTATAAGAGACAACAATATTACATATACATGGTCTTTTCAAGCTCCAAATTAAAAATCTCACCATATCCTCCAGGGACGCCTCTCTTCCTTTGGTTCCTTAAACCGTTTAACTGCAAAGAAAATCAGAGAGCTTACGTTACCCATCAGAGCTGAACTGATACACGTGTGCAGCCTGCGTCAATCTTCAACGCAAAAGCAGTCAGAAAAACCTGGAGGACGCCCAGCATTTTCCAGTCTAAAGCTGAGCAAACCCCAAAGACCCGGCTCCAGACTGCCCAGAGGCAATGCACGGATCCACGGGTCAGAAGGGCAAACAGCTAAGGTGTTTGGGAGGTAGGAATGTGCTTCTGGCACCCTTCGGCAGCAGCGTTTTCACACCATGAGAAGTGACCCGAGGGAAGGTAGGGCAGGTTCAGGTTCACCACTACCTACCAGCCCTAATAATTCTTCCAGGCAAACATAAATTATGGTAGCGACAGCAAAAAAATATGAAACAAGAGTCCATCAAGGTTTTGAGTCACAGCACCGCAATAAAGCCACCTCCTCCTTGCAGCTAACAGGACCAGAGGACCGTCGAGGAAGCTGGAACTTGCACTTATCTCCAGCGTAGAGGTACCAGTGCCAAGCCCCAAAACCCCGTGAGCTGGCATGGCTCCAGGCTTGGAATAATGTTTCGTATTAAAACATTATTCCATTACACAATATTTTGCATGCCCAGTGGCTACCACTGTGGAGCAGTAGTCTGAGACACATGGCTTCAGTACCACCAACCATATGCCCTGAAAAAGATATCTGAAGCAACTCTTCCTTCCTTGAAAACATTTAAAGCTAGACTGGACAGGGCTCTGAGCGACCTGATCTAGTTGAAGATGTCCCTGCTCATGGCAAGGGGCTTCGACTATATGAACTTTAAAGGTCCCTTCCAACCCAAACCCTGATTCTTTAAAGGAAGTCCCCTCATCCATTAGATGAGCTTGGTCTTTGCAGCCCTTCAGCCCTGTCCTCCTCTACGGAGCCCTCCAGTGCCAGCTATCACAGTCCAAGCTCTCTCCTGTGACGGCCTGAAGACAACAGCAAGTTGGATTTTTACCTACTTTTGCTCAGAGTAGAGTCCGAGCACTGCAGAAACATCCCAAAGGGTCCCAGTTAGTTCGTCACAGCGATTTAATGCTCTCCTTGGGTTCAACCAGCTTTTACACGTGCAAATAGGAGCTGCTAATGGAAAAGTACCAAGTACCACGCAAAAGTAATTTTGGACTGTTTTGCTGTCACTCCAGCTAGCAGCCCATTTTAGAAAGTACCAGCTACCAGGACAAGTCTTTTCCCTTTAATCCCATCGGTACCAAAGATCTGTAACAAGCAGACCTGGAAGAGGCTTTTCCACTAAATTAAATTAGAAGAAAAAAAAAACCAACACCAAACAAAAAGCAAAGTGCGTTCAGTGGCACTGTCTGGCTTTCTGGTAAGGTTACTAATAGCTACATCTAGAGCTAGAGGCATCATCGCTAGAGCTGCTGCCCCAAGCACGCTGCCTCCAAACCTCAGGGAGACACACAGGGTGCGGATCCCGACCTCGCCTCGGCTGCTGGAACCACCTTCCTCCTCCTCACCAGTGCTAATGAGCTGAAGATGGAAGGCGCATTAAATCTGGCACCATCACTTCCCAAACACGCTGCCAGCTTGAACAGGATTCAGAGGTAAAAATAATGAGCTGTGACTTTTTTCTTTTACTGAGAGAAATGGAAAAAAAAATAACAACGCAGTGCATCCTCTAACTCCTGACAGTCCGGCTGGTGACGCGAGCAGAGCCGCTGCTTGGTGGTGCCATCTAGTGAATCTAGGAGTGTGGCCAGCAGGTCGAGGGAGGTTCTCCTTCCCCTCTACACTGCCCTAGTGAGGCTCCATCTGGAGTACTCTGTCCAGTTCTGGGCTCCCCACTTCAAGAAAGATGAGGAGCTACTGGAGAGAGTCCAGAGGAGAGCTACGAGGATGGTGAGGGGACTGGAGCATCTCTCCTACGAGGAAAGGCTGAGGGAGCTGGGCTTGTTCAGCCTGGAGAAGAGAAGGCTGAGAGGGGACCTTAGAAATGCCTACAAATATCTGCAGGGTGGGTGTCAGAAGGATGGGGCCAGGCTCTTTTCAGTGGTGCCCAGCGACAGGACAAGGGGCAACGGGCACAAACTGAAGGAGAGGAAGTTCCAGCTGAAGATGAGGAAGAACTTCTTCCCTCTGAGGGTGACGGAGCCCTGGC